GAGTATTGATAAGGGAGCCATGACTTCATAAGGACCCACAGACGGGAGAGGAAGTGCAGCCAGGCTTCACGGAAATGTAAGTTCTGGGTGAGATGCTGGATTCGAGAACATGTTTGGGATTTTAGAAAAACCATGTGAGACTCAGTCATGTACTCACTATTAGCAGCTCATAGCCACACTCCTTGTGGTGCGTTCTATTCCTGCCCCCCAATACCAACTGACACATTCTTCTCGTTTCTCAGTTAAATTTCCTAAGAGGGAGAAAGAATTGGATTGGTTCCTATAATATTTTTAGAGAGGTTGTTACAGGCCTTCTAATACATTATTCTCTTTTCTAGCCTAACATAGGCCACAAAATTGTCTTTCTATCTGGTGTCCATCCTTGGTATAATCTGTTGTCTGGGAGATGAATTCATGTTATAAATCATGTGGGTATGAGAAGAAAGGGGAAGACTCACTAGCTCTTGCTTTTGATAAACCCACTCAATGTTTATATATCTTATCTATTTTAGCCCCTAAAGAAGGGAATAAGAGAATATTTTTATACATGTGCCTCACTTGTTATTTCTTGGCTGGCTGTAGTACTCTTTGCTTACCTCTCATTACATTCCATTGAGGTTCTCTATATATAAGATTGTTACCCTCATTGCAAGCTCTCTAAGGAATAGGACTGTGATTACTTAATATGGTGCCCCCAGGCATCCACTATTGGGCCCACCTCATGGAGAACCCACCCCAGAAAATATTTGTTAAATAAATGGATGATCTATATGATAACTGGGATATTTTTTGAATTTGTTAAAACAGTGTGGTTTAATTTCCAGGAGGCTGAGTTCCTTCTTCTTTAATCTGTAACTGATACTTGTCCTTTGTTAGTGATTCTGCTAAGCACCCTAGGACCTATCAGGGCTTCAGGATGTGGACGTGATTCTCAGTATCTTGAAAAATGGTTATGGAAAGATGGCAGTGGATAGCAAGGTGGGACTGGGCAAGCCTGTGTGAGGTACAAGGCTGGGTAACTTGTTGGGGTTGGTTGTGTAACATGAAAGGCAACCCACTCACTTGGAAACATAACATGAAAAGGAGGCTATGCAGATCATATCTGTTTCTATCTCTGATTTAGAAAGCCCAGAAACAGCTGTCAAACCCTGCTTGGGACATATTCATATCCTGCCTGTGATATGAATCTTAAGGGGGTGATAGCCACACAATCATGACATTGTTCCAAGCTGCACAATAAGCTTGCCACAGCCTTGGGCTCTCGAACATGTTCTGAGGGCAACATACAGACCACAGTGACACAGGAGAAGTCTGAGAAACCATTTTCTCTCTACGTAGTTTTCAGGATACTTCTAAATGTCACCTATCAAAGTTTAGTTTCTTCTCATGGTACCTAGCCTGGGAAAGTGTTATTCAGGGCGCATTTGGGTGAGAGGCATGACAATGTAAAGTCACAGACTGCCTAAAGGTCAAAGATGCCCCCTCTTTGCCCCCAAGCTAAACCCATCAATATGCCTCTTCTCTAGTCTATTAGGAAACATGTTAATGGCATGAAAGAACACAGAGCCTACATCTGTTTTAGCCTGGGATGTCATAAAAGCAGATCACAATAGCTTAAGTCGATGACATTTCAGGATGTATTTTAATTCTACAAATCACTCAGGCTCTGTCTATTCTACCTGGCTTATGTTATAGATGGGAGAATAAAAGGAATGCAGTACAGGTAAAAGGAGATGATTACTTTTAAAGGTTATACGGAATTACTGCCAAGTCATGGTGGATGGAGACAATGATATGGATGTTTTTAAAGAGAAATTCTTGACCTCCTTGCTTCAGCATTCTATGCATGTAAGACAAAAGAATTGTACTTGATATCAACCGTTATTTATTTCTCAATGGCTTTGTGGTTAAGAGCATAAGTTTTGGGGTCATATAAAACTGAATTTGAATCCAACTTTAATAGTACTAGCTGTGAAGTCTTGTCTGAGTTAGTCCCTTAGGAGCCTGCATTTCCTCACATGTAACAGGGATAAGCAAATCTCTCTTGTATGTTTCTTGTGGGATTAAATACATTGAAGTAAAGCACTGGTGTGGTGATGGTTCAATTTATACTATTAATAGTTTGTAATCTAATCCCATTTGGAGAGTATTACTTTACCTAGGGCTTGTCTGTCTTCTTTCCTAGTATTATTGAGGTTTTTATACTGTTTTTGATTGATGAGAATCTTTAAAAAACACTGAGGCAGAATTTGGTCCCCAGCAAACATTAGACACCAAACATTAGGCACACGATCTAGGGAAACAGCAAGGCCTTACTGATGCATTGCTTTTGAACCCCATCATGGCTGGTGCCCATACCTCACTGTACAATGTGGATTTGCTCACTGCCTTTATCTCAATTTGGTAATAATGATTTAACAGTTACACCCACAGATGTCTGTCACACTTGGAACTACATGCTACCACATGCCCTGTGCACCATGGTGAAGATCTTTTGTGCCATTTGAATTTTTATTAAATTGCCTAAGTGTTTACTGATATTGCTGTTATGATTATTCATCAGCTTCATAAAGGTTTGGCTTCTGTTTTTCAGTTTCCCAACTGTGAAGTGTGATTATTCAGTTTTACACACCCATTCTGATCAATTCCAATCTAAATTAATCAATTGAGTCCCATTATCTATGTTTCCTGGTATATAAGACCAAAGATTTTAGTTATGAAGCGATGTATTTTCCTATACACCTACCTTATTTCTATGAGGCTGTGTGTGGCAAAGTATGGTGGCTAAGAGCACAAATGCTGGAGCAGACTGTTCAGGTTCTAATTCCAGAACCATCACTTACTATGTACATGACCTTAGACAAGTTGCTTAACTCCTTCGGACCTCAATTTTCCATCTTCATAAAGTGCTTATATGCACTAAATGAGTTCATATATGTAAAGCACTAAAAGCAGTTCCCGAAACGTAGTAAGTGCTAAAGAAGCATTAGCTGCTGTTATTATTATTGCTATGCAGATAAAATAAGATGGCACCCCTCTTCTGGGGAAAAGCACAAATCAAATTGTAATCACTGTCTTGCTAGTATTGAGTTCTAAGACCTCGTAGGGGACACTGATGGCAAGTAGGACTGGGACTTGGACTGGCATGTGGCAGAGATGAGGATAGAACCTTCTTACACCCATGGCTGTGAGTTTGCTGGATACAAGGCAAAATGACATACTGAAAATCATTAGAGGTGTTGGAGAAGAGGAATTA